TGAAGTGCACTAACCTTGTTCTTTCTCATTTTAAGATGAAAAATCTTGAAACAAGTTGAATTTTATGGAAACTAATTGAAATCTTCTCACTGTACTAGCAGATTTCTTTTTCGCACTTTCACAATAGAACGATTTTAAGAAATGACTTAATAAGATGTTCTTTGTCTTGACTGGGGACTATAGAAAAGCAGCAAAATAACTTTAGTCTCATATGGCATTGTTTCCTCCTGGAAGGCCCTGACAGAACAGGCCTGGCAGCTGCTGTCACCCGAAAATAGCGGCAGACTTAGAGGCAGGCAGAGAGCCGAGTGACGCAGCCACGTTGTTCACTCTGTTGCACCCGCCGCGGTGAAAGTCACACACGATCCCACTGGCATCAGAATCCACAGGTGGCAAACACCCTCCTGTCTTTGCCACAAGGCCAGGGGGCGTGTTGGTAGAATATCTGTTACATATGACAAGGGTGACGTCCTAAGCTGAAGCCAAGAGTCAACTGGGAACGTCAAGAAAAGGGCACGTACAGTAAATGCTGTTAGAATCCTTTCATGCTGAGTTGAATACTGTTGTAAATGTGATAATAAAGCAGCGCTAAGCTGAATTCTCAGTCATGTAAGGGATAAGTGCTTCTGTGACAATTTTCTGCTGCTGCAGAACCATAGTTGCCACTGAGAGAAAGGAGCAAGTCACCCACAAAAGTGTTTACTCTCTCTGCCTTTTGCTTTTTTTGTCACCCTCATCAGACAAAAAGCTTTTCCATGTAGTGCTACAATTGCCACGGCTCACAGAGCCTCACTCAGGAGGAGGAGGAGGAGGAGGAGGTGAGTTTGTCCGCCTGATTAAAATGCCCTTCTGGCCCACCTATAATTTTGTTCAGAGCTCTCTTCTCCAACTGCAGCTGCTCCCAGGTGACATCAATTCTAGGAAACAACGGTCAGCACAAGAAGACGACTCCTTCACCCGGTCATCCAATAGGACGTCTCCACATACTGACCCCGGGTAATCCTAGACAAGTGAATCGGCTGGGCAGCACTTTTTGTTTGACAGCTGGTGATGAACTCAAAGTGAATTCTTCTGCATGTCTAACCTGCCACGGAGCAGATAATAGCAGTTCTCATGTATAATTGCTGTAGAAAATAGTATATATGAAAACACCCAGCAGGATGGAAACCTTAGGGCTAAAAAATAAATTACTAAGCTAACTCAAATATATTCACCTCAAATCAAAAGAGGAAAAAAACCAACAGCAGCAACAAAATCGATGAAAATAGACTGTTCCATCAACATGGTTCATATACAGATATTTACCATATTGAAAACCTTTGGACATACATGCAAAGAATCCACTTGCCAAATGAATGCATTTCTAAGTAGCGGGACCTATCCTCATAGTAACAATATATGGCATGACCTGCTAAGACATGTTGTGTCTGAATCCTTTAAGTAAAAGGGCGTTGACACAGCCTGGAGTTAACCAACACAGCCAAACACCCCGAGACAATTCATCCAAGTCTGAATTTAATACCACAAGCTCTGTTCGCTCTGTGACTGCAATTGGGGTTAGGGGGCAAACACTGCAAAGCGAATGGTGCCAGAGGGCAGTTCTGGGCTTCCATTAATAGAAAACCTTTCTGTGGCCAGAATAATAGCTTTGCGACATCCCCCCCCCCATCCCCATCCCCTCCTGTGGACCTCTAGAACCGGGCTAAATGTCACTCAGCAGGATCCCATCATTTAAGAGAAATCACATTTTCCCTCAGAATACACTAACCTCAGACTCACTATCGCACGCTTACAGGTTCTTGAGGATCACATTCTCGAGGGAAGTGCGACCGAACAGGAAACAGATGCATGACATTACAGGAGACTAGCTGGGTTTTTTTGGCACAGGTATGAGCTGCAGCCACCTGTTCAGCCCCATAGAAAGTTTTGTTTGTTTTGACATGAGCAAACAGTAACATGATGACATTTTTAATGAATAGCGAGGGTGGTCCAGTTGATGCAAAAGTGACTTGGGGGAGGGGAAATGCAATAATGCATAAACTGACAGATGGGATCCTTCTGTGTCCCCAATCTGGGGGGAAACCATGTCCTTACATGCGGCATGCTGCTGACCTGAAATTAGAAAAGTAAACACGAGGCTTTGCCTTCTCTGTTGAGGGCATGAGTGCAAGTAGAGCGCCGATCTCCAGCAGATAAACATTTACAGACTGAAAGGTCATCAGGAAGTGTCCTCTCTGATAATCAAATAGCCCTAAAGGCGAGGTTTGATCATTTACAATCTGCTGAGATGTGTGGCCAGCCGGGCAAACGAACATCAGGCTTGTGGGCCTTCCACAGGGCAGCCTGCACCTGTTCATCACTCGACATCCACCATCAGAGGTAAACATTCAGCCCAGCGTGCAGCTACTTCCACCGTGCAACACGTAACATTTGGGTGAAAAGCGTCGTGCTGCAGTTGTTGAGGTTATATAGACATTCAACAGAAATGTATGACTTATTGGTTTATGTTTTGGGTTTGGCCCTCTTGAGTTTTATCATGGGAGGTTGCAGTGGTGATTGTGCACATTTTTAAAAAGCATCTTCAAAACTCACTTCTTTGCTTGATCAATAACTTTGCATTTTGTTTTTTTTTGTTTTGATTGGTAGCTTGTTCTCTCATTTATTCCTTTCCTCTCTCCCTTGTATAAAGTACTTTGTAACTAAGGTTTTGAACAGAACTGTATAACTGACTCCACACATCAACAAATGTCTGTTTGACCAAGATTCATAAACCTTCATCAAAATTATAAAATACTGCAGGCATACTGCAGCTGAGCCTCCTTTTTGCATAATCCATGTCTCTATTGTCATAAGGATTCAGAATTATTCTCTCCTCGACTTCATCCAGATCACTGTTTAATTATTTAAGCAGGTTTAATTTGGTAAAATTAATTAGAGGACATGCATTTCACTTGGATTCACATGCACCAATCATGGAAAAGAACTGTAATTTCTAGTATTAATTTCCCTGGGTACAGAGAGGTGAAGTAAAAAACAGTCGATCCATCCTCTGCTGGACTTTATCTATAAACGCTGCGTGAAAAAAAAGAAAAAGGTAAAGAAAAACATCCACAGTAAAAAACTGTTTCAGAATATTTCAAGAGCAGATGGCCGCTAGCAAAACTATGTTTTTAAAGAAAAAAAGCTATGTGGATGAAGATGAGGGAATAGCAAGCTCAACTTTACTTAAACACAGATAGATAGATGTATAAAATAAAAACACACACATTCACACACCCAGCCTTTCATTTAAGCCATTGTATGCTCGTACTAGCCAGTAAAATTCCCTCTCAGCTGGCCTGCAAATAGGCTTTAATGTGCCCCCTAAACAGGCTGACATACAAAACACACATCTGCCGTGTTTAGGTAAGCTGCAGTTGCCATGGTTACAGACGAGCACTCGCTAAACAGTTGTGTGTCAGGCCATCATTGAGACAAAGCACTTGAGCACACACGCACGTACATACGCACGTACGCACGCACGCACGCACGCACGCACACACACACACACACACAGAAATGAGTTGAGGTGAGCGTTGGTGGTTCAAAGTGAAATACAAGGAAACACAGGATGGCCGTCAGGATGATGTCACGCTTCTATTAGCAATATGTCGCTGTCACCATTAACCGTCACTAGGGTCTGTGCTCAGGACGTACTAATAGAAGCTGCCATGGGGACAACCTGAGTTCAGCCTGAGTCATCAGAGTTTCATATGACATTTGGAGGAGGATGAAGAAAATGTGCTGTTTTTAGCCCAAACTGAGAGCGAAAACAAAAGTGTTTTATTCCGTTCTGATTATCAACTACCTCCTTGCAGAAGCTTACGGCTACACACCTCATCTCAAAACAACAACCTTGACTGGGTTTTAAATGGCTATATCCACTTAAAACAAGAACAGTTTTCCACAAACAAAGCACATTTTGTGACCAAAACACTTGACATGAAGTGTCACAGTTTTATCCAGCTTTTGTCCCACAAACATGAAGCAAGTGGCTCGTTAATATTCCACATCAAAACCATAATGCTTGAGTGTGTCTGCCCACCCAGCACTCTTGATTAACAACCTCTACTCGCTGAGCCAACTGGCAATGCAGCATCACATTTAGGGGGCTGGGTGAAAAGTGGGATCAAGCCCCGAGCACTGCGGCAAGCCTTGGCATGGCGCTCCCGCTCATGCCATTTCATTTCATCACGCCTCAGACTTACTACTTCCATTGCCAAGCATTTATAACTAAATCATCTCACAGGAAAAATAAAATAGAGTCTCTGTCACACATAAACTGTAAGTTGCAAAATAAGCATCTGATTGGGATCACATGCATTCTTGTAATCCTGCTGTAAAGATGATAACATGTTGTCAAAGAGGCATGTGATATCCTCGTGACAGTGTCAACAGACACACCAAATGCCATAGCAACCAGTTCAGTTGACCAAATTCAATTGGTAAATTGTACATGTCCCTCCCTCCGTTCTGGATCAGTGTCTCTCTGCCGTCTGTGGGCATTATGGGGTGTATGACCTTAATACACTCTTTAAATCTCTACTCTTTGTAGCCCTGACTTTGTTTTAATACGTTTGCCCGCCTGTGTGAGACATGAGCTAGCAAGATAAGCACTTCCAAATGGTATATTTATGTTGCGGACGAGCAGAAATAAATTCAAGGAACATTCAAGCGTGCCCAATTTGTGGCTTGTCAGATGCAAGCTCCTCCTGAGCAAGGTTTCTGGCTTGTCCTATAATAACAAATCTTTTTCACAAGGCGCTCTCGCAGAAAAATACACTTTGAGGGAGTTCAACCCGAGTGCCGAGCTGTCATGTGGAAGTTTGGGGATGATCATGATCAGCTGTCACGCTTCATCTCACTGATCTCTTAACTGACGGCCTGCTACATGTAGGCTAAAGTAGCTTGAGATGTCAATCAAAGATTAAACGAAGGATGATGACTGAGTGTGAACTCACCAGGACTCTTCCTGTCAGTGTCTGAGCGGATATCATGACTCCGGCCCAGTCTTTGACGGAGGTCATCCAGCCCACCTCGCTGGCTGCCGCGTCGTCCTTGTCCGTACGTTTGATGCCATCGCCTGTGGTGATCCGATGGACCTCCTAAAAGAGACAATGCAGTCACTTAATATTTTTCACATTTTAAAGTCTGTTTTTACATTATCACTGATTGTTGCGACCCAATACTCTAACCCTTGTTCATCAAATTACAACCTTACACGACAAAGCATTTTTCCTGGGTACAAAGGACCACAACAGCACAAAAGACATGTTTTCCAGTTCCAACTATTCCAACTATTTTTCAGAAGCTACACTTGTCAAGCCCTAGTTTCTCAATGTGTGTCTCCAGCTAGTGTCCAGGCCACAGCACAGAGACCAATAAAGACAGCGGGGACCCACAGGTAGAGCTACATGGTGGTATTAGTGCACCAGGTAAGGTTATTTTCTGTCAATTACTGTTAGTGATGTCCAGCAGTGCAGACGCTTTGAAAACCAGTGTGACAACGAGGAGCTTGAATTTTCATCCAAGTGAAACTGATTTAACCATAAAGTTATTGTTTTGGTTGTGTAATCAGATTTTCGTATATGACCAAGTGTTTATAGCATTAGCATTAGCTGTGAGTAAAAACACAATTAGCAGATGGTGAAAAGCAGCTAACAGTAGTTAGTTATAGGACTTTAATTGTTTAGACCCACATTCACAAAAATGGCTTCTTCGGTCATTATAAGTAGGCTGTAATATTGTTTTGGACATCAGAAGTCAAACCTTTGCATGATAAGAGCCACAGTTCTTTTTTTTTTTTTTAGCAGGGAGCAAGTAGCTGCTAGCATCATGACCTAGAGGAGATATTAACAGAAGTGAAAATGCTCTTGAGCATTACTGGGTGTGTTTAAAAGTCCTCTGGATAAATATATTCATAATTAACACGAAAAGTTTCCTTTAAACCTTTTTTACCATAAATTATTTTTTAGCTACTTGGGGGCAGCGCAACAAGCTGTAAAAACAACATTGATATATCACCTTATAGCAAACATGCTACCATACATCAATATTAGCATTCATTTGGAGTCGAGTTTCTGGCCACCTGATGAACCCAAGCCCAATATTCCCTCTCCTTTTCATTAGCCTTGTCAGTGTGTTCTTTGGTACATGGTTTATCAGAGCTTTTTTGCTTAAAACAGCTGCCTGCAGTGTCTGGAAACAAAGTTGGTAAAAGCGAAGAACAGTAAAGCTGCAAAGCAGTAAAACCAAAATAATGAGCTGAAAGAAATGCTCCAGAGCACTGAGGGGAACTGCAGATTTGAGTGAGATCATTATAAGCTGTCCTTTTCACATTTTATATAATCACTTCATTCATTGTTGATAAAAAAAAAAAAAATTGATTAGATCAGCTTTAAGTAAACATGAAGGAGTACCACCTACAGCAACACAAACTTTGTGAATAGAAACTACCAGCTAGGATTTGTGATTGCCAGAAATCACAAAACATGAGCAATCGCTTAAAACCCAAAATCACTAGGCCTACTTCAAGAACATAAATGCATCTTTCTAAATATAGTGACCAGGCTCAAGGCTTTCAAAATAAACCTATGCACATGCATGCACGCATGCATACAGTAAACATACAGAGTGAGAGCTGCAAAGAGACTCCAGGACTGTATCCATGGCAGCCACTGAGCTCCTGGTGTTTCTGCTCCACTGAGTGAGTGGGCTGCCTGCCTGCCTTCCTGCCTGTCTGTCTCCCCACCTGTCTTTCTCCCCATCTGTCTGTCTGTCTGTCTGGTGGGACTGGTATGATTCAGAGAGCAGGAAATTGAGACTGGATGCAGAGGTTAGCCATGCTCCCTGATGAAACACCCCACAGCCTCAAGGCTATAACGACTTGGAGTCTTTACCCCGTGACATCCTCCTCCTCCTCCTCTACCTTAATGGTGTCACACATCACTTTCCCTGAGGCTTTTCTCCTACAGCTCTGCTCGTCAAGTCAATTAATTGATATAGTTTGCATAGTTAAAGGGGGAAAATAAGTGCTCAATGTTTATATGGTTTCCATTAACTTAAGTGCCGTGTATACACTATTACAGTGGTCCATTTTGTTCTGGTGCTTAAGCCCAAGATCTCAGTGTGCCACATTCTCCAGATGCAGGATGGGCTATTGTGTGTCCAAGCGATAGGGCAGCCAGCCTCAAAGACCTCCTGGTATGCAACTATGCAACATGTGCTGTGTTTCCACTCCATCATAAATCTTTGTAAAACTGAAGGGGGTGCAGCACTATTGAAATAAGTGAATGAATGAATGAATATATAATGAATATGGGCTACACAGCTATGATTAGACGACAAGAGCATCTGTTTGCCAGCAGTCTGGTGTAGGAAAAAGGGAGGTGGAAAAATAACTGTTATCCTTTACTTAACTTACAGGTGAACCTTGGCAATATTCTGTATTTTTGTTATTGTACACACTGTAAAGACAAAAATTAACAGTGCATTAGTCCATCTCAGTTCTGTATGACTTCCTTAGGTTGCAGTCCCGCTCCCACTGTTTCCTACTGAAGATGTGACTCTATGCAAACAGCCTGCAAGTATACAGTATACATAGACAGTATATATAGCTTCATTTAAAAAAAAAAAAAAAAAAGTGTGGTAAATTATTTTCTAAAGCAGCTGGGCACTGTTGTTTTAGTAGCAAATGTTAACAGGAGTAAATAGTCTATTTGTTGTGGACTATTTTCAGACGCAGTCTCAGTCTACAAGTCAGTGAATATGGGATCGACTCAAAATAAACTACACTGCCCATGTTCATTGAAAGGGAACATGCAGGCCAGTGCAACTGATCTTCACTATAACCTGCCAGATATAACTTATTATCATGAGCCATCAGTCATCAATGAGCCACACTGTTGCACTGGGTGACGATGTTTTTTCTTTATCATAAATATGGTCACTCAATTTATTTTCACTCATTCCCCACATACACCATCCTGCTGCTGTAGATACAACAACAACACGTGTATTCATTCGCCACAATAAATAGTACCCAACAAATGAATAGCTACTTATTTCCTATTTGAGTAACATTTGCTAGAAACTAGGAAATTACTGAGCCTTTATAAGAAATGAAACTATACTTATTTGTGAGCCATTTGTTGAAAACATAGAAAATCTAAAGAAAAAAACAAACAAAACAAACAAACATCAGAATTATCCTTTAATAGTTTTTGGACAACAATAGAGACACAGAGAAATAAGCCATATCTGGCTTTGACCACAGGAAATACTTGTTTGAAGGATAAATTCTTTGTTATCTTTTAAGGTAAAGTATCAAGGAAGAAGTACATCAGGATTAAAGTCCTGCATTCAAAACTGTACTTGAAAGTGAAGCCATGTTAGCAGAAATGTCTGCGAACTGACTAGCTAAAATGAACATGTACATATTTCCTGAAGTATAGAAGATAGATATCATTTGCAATATTGACAGACAGTATGAGAATATAATCATAAAATTCATTCAAAATGTTGTTGAGCTTGACACGTTTTTCATGTAAAATAAACTGGTTTGCATTTAATATTTAATAACTGTGAGTGTCAGATAAATACAGAGGAGTAAAAGGTACAATATTTTGCTCAGAAATGATCTTCCTTGGAAATAAAGTGGAGAAATATGACCAAGTGTCAGAAAATTAAAATAGTCAAATTCTACAGTACATTGCTTGGGTATAATTACTTACATATTTTTAAAGAAAAATGGCTTTTGCCAACCCACACACCAAAGATTTCAACCACCATTATTATTACTAAATAGCTGGCTGCACAAAGAAATTCAATCATGTTCAGAGCCATTAGTCAGAGACAAGCAGACCACCAGCAGACCATGGTACACTTCCTACAGCCTGTCAAGGGCCCAGCAGCACTAACCTGATAAGACTATAATAACATGTCTTGTTCACTTAGTAGCTAACGCAGCCAACGAGATACAGGAATGGAAAATTTGGTGAAACTGCGATGTAGAAATGAGAGGTAACAGGTAGGAGCTGTTTTCAGACAGACATTGGCTTTTCCATCACTTAGTTGTGAACTGTACCGAGTGTAGTCTTAATTCAGGTCGAGCGTGCCGTGTTTTGCTGTAATAAAATGGGTAAACAGACTCCTTAGCTGCAGTTATTGTACCCTGTGAACCAAACCACTGAGACTTTCCAAGGTTACATCATTTATTTTGAAAAAAAAAAAAAAAAAATCTTTTCTGACTGGCCTTGAAACGGAGCCTCTGGGGGAATTTAAGTCAAATCTCACTTTTGAATCCCCTTAAGGGGATCAGGGTGAGTGGATCAGGCTGTGGGTTTGAGACTGAAAGGGAAAAGAACATGCTGTTTGCCTCGTCAGTCAGCAGCCTGTTGAATAGGGTGTAAAACTGTTAAGGAACACAAAGCTATAGGCTTCCAGTTTCATTGCGGCAAACTGGCGATAACGCTGCGTCTTTCCCATGATCTGAGGAGCCTCTGGGTTGCACAGTCAGGATGGTATGTTTAAAATAAAACTAGTTCATGCTACGTGTTGTCAGGGGTTCAGAAGCTGTTTAACCATCCAACAAACACTATGGTTGAAACATTATCACCCCCTTACAGGCCCTACAATATACTGACACCACGAGATAAAAATATCAGAGTAGCCACAACAGAACACATTTTACTATAATCATATAATTAATGAAAGTTAATGCTAAGCACGTTAGCATGGTGGCATTAGCCTTTAGCTCAGAGCACCGCTGTGCTTACGTACAGCCTCAGTGTCTTTAAATGTTTTAGCTCTTGTTGATACAGCTTTCCTTTTTCGTGCAGTCCTACTGAATAATATAAACACATCTCCTGAAATAGATTAGGTTTGAACAATAACAAATTGAAAATTTGGACTCGTTATATTTATGAGACATGAAATTTGAATTGGTTAAATGAGCCACTTAACGAAATGAGATTCTAAAAATGGCTCAGTGGACACATTTTGTTATTCTAAAGATGACGGAGCGAGCGTTTCTCCTCGGTTTCCTGTCAGTAAATGGGGTTAGATATCTTTTAGGATGCGTGGTTGAGTCCTTAAGAAACATTTG